AACATCAAAATTCAATTTTATTTCCAATTTTCCATGATTTGGGGGACAACAAAGTCTTCTTGAGAAAGCTGTAATTTTGGTTTTAGAGTTATTAATGGAAAACTCTTCCTCCTTACACAACTCCACTAAGGCCCACAGATTTTCCTGAGGCCCACTTACATGAATGAAAAAATTGCTACATCATTGTCATATACAGTAGCAGTACCATATTCCAGTCACCAAGTTTAGGATGGTGAAATTCCTTTTTGGTTAAGACAATTACTGTTGAATTGACATAGATATTAAATAGGAGAGCTAGAATAAAACTCTGTTTCACTCCTCAGTTGATTGGAATGTCTGAAGTAAGGTGGCCAACTATCACAACTAACACACATCAAGGCATTTTCATACAGTATCCCAATTAGGAAGATGGAAAGATATTAACAGAGTTGGAAGGGACCTTATAGGTCATCTAGTCAAGCCCCCGCTCAAGCAGGAGACCCTACACCAGTGATGGCTAACCTTTTTGTCATGGCGTGCCAGGAGGGGGGGGCAGGGGGGTTCTCACATGTGTCCACACCTATAATTCTATGTGCCCCGACCCCGCGCATGTGCGTGCGACCCCCCGCACTCCTGGCACGTGATGGCCTGGTAGGCCCATTTTTCTCTCTTGCCGGGCTCCAGAGCCTTTCTAGCAGTCTGAGGAGGGAGAAAATGGCCTTCCCTACCCCCATGGAGGTCCTCCAGAGGCCAGAAATGGCCCGTTTGCCAACTTCCGGTGGGACTGGAAGGCCCATTTTTTGCTGTCCCCAGCCTCCAGAGCCTCTCTAGGAGTCTGGGGAGGGCGAAAACGGCCTTCCCCACCCCCACAGAGGTCCTTGGGAGGCCAAAAATGGCTCATTTGCCAACTTCCGGAAGTTGGCAAAGGGGCTGTTTTCAGCCTCCCGAGGACCTCCGAGGCCATTTTCGCTCTCCCCAGACTCCTAGAGAGGCTCTGGAGGCTGGGGACGGCAAAAAATGAGCCTTCCCCACCACCCCCCGAGGCCCTCCGGAGGCAGGAAACAGCCTGTTTCCCCACTTCTGGCGGGCCCAAAAGGCCCGAAAATCAGTTGGCCGGTGCGCACCGGAGCTGAGCTCACATGCCCAGTGATATGGCTACGTGTGCCACCTGTACGTGTACACCATTTCTGACAAATGGCAGTCCAATCTTTTCTTGAAAATCTCAAGTGATGAAGCTCCCACCACTTCCGAAGGAAGCTGTTCCATTAGTTGATTATTCTCACTGTCAGAAAGTTCCTCCTCATTGAATCTCTCCTTGGTCAGTTTCCATCCATTATTCCTTGTCTGGCCTTTAGGTGCTTTGGAAAACAGCTTCACCCCCTCCTCTCTGTGGCAGCCCCTCAAATATTGGAAGACTGCTATCATCTCCCCCCTGGTCCTTCTCTTCACTAGACTAGCCATACCCAGTCCATGTAACCATTTTTCATATGTTTTAGTCTCCAGTACCCTAATCATCTTGGTTGCTCTCCTCTGCACTTTTTCTAGAGTCTCAACATCTTTTTTATAGTGTGATGACCAAAACTGGATGCAGTATTCTAGGTGTGGTCTTACTTACTAAGGCTTTATAGAGTAGTATTAGTACCTCACTTGATCTTGATTGTATCCCTGTATGATTGTATGACTTTTCAGATTCCGCCTGACTTTACTGCAATCACTTTCTCTCAGTAAAAGTTATTTTGATTCAACTTAATGGATTCAAGAGTTTTGCTTTCCTGAGGGACCAGCTGGGGCAGGTCCTTACACTCTCTTTATTGCGGTTGATTGAGAATCATGGATTGTTAAGCAAGTACCTACGTGGCCCAAGCCAAGCCATTCCGGGGTCCCTCCCAGCCCAATCCTCATTAAGATAAGGGACTGCCTTCAACTACCCCCACCTGCCTATCTCTCTTTCCTTTGTCCTTTTGGATTTGCAGGGCAGCAAGCAAACCCAGAACCACATGGTTCTGCAACTGCCTCCTATGCCCTAGGAAGTCTCAGCAAATGCTGGCAAACATTCATTTGCCAAGCTACCTTTCCAATCCCACATAGCTCCCCAGCCTGCCCCAGCAAGCAAGTCAGCAAGCATTTCGTTGATTTCAGCTCAGTCAGTCTCAGTCTACTTTGTTAAGGTAGTCTGTCTGCTTCTCATGAGGTACCACACCTTTGTTTTCTCCCCTTTCAGTTGGAGGGAAAGGAAAAGACCAAACTTAACAAAAGTGGAATTTGGAAAATAAAATAAAATTCAAAGTAAAAGAAGGTCTTGGAGCTAAGTGGAATACTCCCTAACTAATTTTAAGCAGATTAGATTTGAAGGAAGTGCTGGGATCACACAGTAGGGAATCTCATCAACAGCTGGCCCATTTTACTAAGCCTCAGAGAGACAGATCCAAAAATGATGATGGTTCTCTTTCAATCTTCAGAAGCAGTATATTTACTTAAAAAACAATAACAAAAGGAAAACAGATGGTGTTTCTTGAATCAAATCAGAAAATACCTGATAAATTTTCTTTGTTATGTCAATTATTCTTAGTATTATAAACTTTCAAACTGAATTTGTTTTCATTGTAGTATTATACTTAAGATTTTTAATATTAAAATTAAAAAATGAAATGAAATGGTCACAGAGAATGAAAAAAATCTTTGTTTTCAAAGTGGACGTTTTAAGAAACAATAATTCCGTTTTCTGCTACAAACTGAAGATAGCTCAGCAGTTATATGGGGTTGGTTTAAGGCATATTACTATTCTGAAATAGTTAGTGGAAGAGAGCTTTCATACATCCGCTGGCTGCATAAAGGAAGAAACTAGCTCTCCTGCACTGGCTTGAGTAAGACACTTGCTATTTGAGACTACCCTTCTTTTCGAGAACTGTCCCATGTAGCAGCCATTCTTCCTGTTTCTTATGTAACTTATAGCATTGCATGATGAAAGAACATGTGAATGCTCCTTCCTTCTTAGTCCATTACTTTCTTTCCTGGTAAATCATGATTTTCAATTGCAAAATGCTTATACAGAAAAACAATTTAGATTATTAGTTTATGGAAAATGTTTTACAGATTAAGAGAGTTGGAAGGGACCTTGGAAGTCTAGTCCAAGACATGAATGGCAATCACATGACTGTGGGACACTGCAGCAGTTGTAAATGTGCGTCAAATGCAAAACATGCAAATGGTGATCATGTGGCTGTGGGATACTGATGAAACACGCAAATGGCAATTATATGACCATGGAATGTTGTAACCACTATAAATGAGAGTATTGGTGGCAAAGATATTTTTTTAGCACTGATATAGCTTTGAATAATTGCTGAAACAGTTGGTAAGTGAGGACTATCTGTATCAGTTGTGAATTGGGTTTCTGGTGATAAAATTAGTAATGAAGTTGAATGGAGATACCTCTAGCTACTACCATTAAGAATAATAGGGGTATATATGTAAAAGATAAGAAAGGAAGAGAAAGAAACAGATAATCTCCAATTTCATTCCCTTCCAGCAAGCCTTTCCTTTCCTTCAGTGGTCAGACTTTGTAATAGGCATGGCAATAAATTTCAGTTCTGGAGGTGATTGGTGCAGTGATAAAGAAAGTACCACTGCTGGTTTGTAATTCTAATCTGTTTTATGTCTTTATGGTTTATTACACTGTAAGCTACTGAGAGTTGCCTTGACCTGTGAGATAGGTTTCATATAAATTTAATAAACAAACAAATTCTCCAGGCATATCACCCTTTAAGGAACTTATAGCAAAAGCCTGTAGGTATGACATAACGAGACAATTAGCTTTTTTGCAGAGAAATTGGGAGCCATGGACTGCAAAACAAAAGACAGAGCTGCCTGTTTGTCTGCCTGCCTGATCTACTTGCCTCCATGGTTTACATTCTAGAGATTTCCTTTCACCTTTTTAAGTTAAAGGAAATCTGATTATCTTCTTTCTGATTTAAAGACTGGGAGATATGTGCTTAAAATGTACAGTACGTAAAAGGTTTGGTTCAACTTGAGAATCTGGAAGACCATGATTCTACATCTTGCTGGTGCTATATTTAGTATGGATCGGGACAGCAAAGTTAGATCTGGTCCATCTAACTTTGGTAATCATGGTAAAATATGTCTGGTTTTTCTCTGCACTTGATCACATTATACCGTAGATGAGAATAATTCATAGTATGTCTTATTAGAGATTGATACATTGTTAGGTATATATGAAGACAGAAGCTGATGAGTTGGAAACCAGTGATTCTAATCTGGTAACTTTACCATTACATCAAGTTGGCTTTCTCATAACTGTCTATGGAGATCTGAAGTGATAAATATGTTATTACAAAACATGTATAGTTTGCTTCGAGAATACATTCACTTGCATTAATTTCTAACTTGATGTAACGCTGGAGACAGGTGATAATCCCTGGCCAGAATCTTTAGGCATAATTTCTGTTTGCAGCTTGAGGAAGCAAACTAGATATTTGTAAGCATAAGACTACCCAGTTGCTCTCTTGACTTTTCTTGTCCTTTGCTTCTCATTCTGGATAAGCTTCAAGAGAGATTTAAATACTTGGATGCAAGAAATTGTTAATGTCTCATTAATCAAGAAATATTTTTTACTCTCCATCCTGAAATGATGACATTAAAGAAAGCCTGCTCTATGTGAGAAGGAAGTTCTATAGAGTAGAAAATCTATGGTAAAGAATGGGGCAAATGCAGTCATTTATTGACAGTTCTTCAAACCTAAAATCTTATTTCAGTATGCTTTTCACTTTCTTTTTCTTCTCATTCATTTGAGCTGTCCAGAATTGCTTCAATAGTGAGATGGGTGGAATAATTAATTAATTATTTTCTGTGCCTCAATCACCTGCAATAAAAATCTGCAAAAAAATTTCCAGCATGATGAACAATTAGTTCCCAATATCATTCTTGGGTAAAAGTAGTACAAATTCTTTGCCAATTAGATGTACTTTACTAGAGGGCTTTTTAATTTGCTGTAAGTTTCTTACCATTCTCAGGGTGTTCCATCTCACCAATGCTGCCATCAGGTGTGGTGCGTTCATAGTGGTCCTCAGGTAAGGCCAGAGGCCCTATCCGAGGCCCTGATGAAGATTTGCTGCTAGGTGTTTCTGACTCTTCAAGGCCACTGTCATAGTAACTGTGCTGGGAGGGATCCTGCAGATCTTGAGCTTGATTGGCTGCAGAGAATGTCACTCGGCGATGAGGTAACTGCAAAAAGCAAAGCAAAATCCTTAATTAATCTGTTCAACACAAGTACAGTAAAAAGATGTATCTTCAATAAGTGACCCCAAAATATTCTACAATGAAATCTAATATATATGTTTCCATTAAAGAAAATCTACCTAAATTATAGACAAGATTATAGAGTGTACAGAATTTAAGGCAAATATGTCCACAGTAATAATTGACTGTCAGTTGTTAACTTCTGGTAGAACATCATCAAATTAGCAATTATATTACTGAGTCATGGACAGGCATTTCTGTTCTTAAAATAATAAAAGAATTCAAAATTTTTGGATTTTGATGCTTTGTAAAAAAGTTTGTTATAACCACAAATGGTTATTGTTGTAACCACGATATATTCTATGATATATTGTGTACCTGTGGTACAACATATATCATAGTGTGTAAAATACAATAAAACAAAATAAAGTAATAAAAAGAGTATTGATGCAAATAGATTACTGTGTGTCTATAGATCTTGCTTCATAGAAATGCATACTACCGGGGTGGTGGGGGTGGTGCATGGCCTGTGACATGGCGGAACGACGTGAACTTCGGGGCTCCGGAGTGAGCGCCGATATCATAGCTGTTTTGGGGGTCCAGAGGGGACCATAGCCAACTCTGCAGCTGGGAAGACAGCCATTGAGAGCTGTCACAAAGCCGGAGTGGTAACGAGTGAAGGGAACGAAAGAGGAAACAAGGCACAACATCTGGATGAGAAAGAAACTTCTGTCTTGGAAATAAGACCTCTACTTTTTAACACATAACCTGAACTGTCAAAAAAAAAAAAAAACTAATTAGAAACGAAAAGGAACGGCAAGAGCGAAAGGGGAGGAAGTGGATATCTGGCTACCTCCCCATTTCCGGGTTAGCGACGAAAAAGCAATGGCTGCAAATAAAAATTAATTTTCTTAAAGAATATGAATTGATTTGGAAAATAATGGAAAGCAGATTGGGCAAAGTGAATTTAGATTGAAATACGGATGTATTTTGGACTTTAAAATAGATACTGGAAAGGTCTAAGTCGGAACAAATAGACTTCAGATCAGTGAAAGTAAGTTGTGAAGTTATATAGTACCATCTGATGGTGAAAAAGAAATCTCTTTTTTTTTCTTGGATGTGTGGCGAGAACAAAGAATGACCTTGAGTAACATTTGAGATAAACTGTCTTATGACTTATTGGGAGTAAAAGAGGAGAAGGGGAAAAAGAAAAAAGATTACCAACTGAATAATAGATTAAAGACTATTTTGTTTAAATTGTTATTTTTTGTCTACACGTATTATCTGCTGTTATACTATTTTTGCTGACTATTTGGAGTGAAAATTTTTGGATCTTTTCTCTTCCTTTCCACTATTTTTGCTCAAAACCTGAAATGTGAAAAAAACTAAAATTTGGATATTGTATTTTTCTTTTCTTTTTTGGATTTTGCACCTTTTGACATTCAACATTTTGGATTTTGGATACATACTCTTTTTTCCTCTATTTATTGTTTATTATTAATTTAATTTAATTTAATATTTGAATTTATATACCGCCCTTCTCCCGAAGGACTCAGGGTGGTGAACAGCCAGAAGTAAAAAACATCAAATACAAAATTTAAAAACAATTTAAAAATAAATTAAACATTTTGGCCCAACCATTAAAAATCCAAATTAAAATACACAATTGGAGAGATTAAGCCAGCCCGACTTGATGAAATAAAAAGGTTTTGAGGGCCCGACGGAAAGTACGTAAGTCCGGAATCGTCCGTATCTCCGGGGGGAGCTCGTTCCAGTGGGCAGGTGCTCCCACAGAGAAAGCTCTCCCCCTGGGGGTCGCCAGTCGGCATTGTTTGGCCAACGGCACTCGGAGACAACCCTCTCTGTGGGAGCATACTGGCCGGTGGGAGGCTCTCGGTGGCAGAAGGCGGTCCCATAAATATCCAGGCCCTAAGCCAAAGGTAGTCACCAACACCTTGAATCGCACCTGGAGGACCACCGGGAGCCAGTGCAGCTCACGCAGGAGAGGTGTTACATGGGAGCGCCATGACGCTCCCATAATCACCCGCGCGGCTGCATTCTGGACCAGTTGGAGCCTCCGGGTACTCTTCAAGGGGAGCCCTGTAGGGTTATTACAGGGTTCATCTGTATGGTTTTTGGAACTGCAGTTACACGAAATTGCAAACATCAGCAATTCTCATCTTTGAGCAGTGTTTCTAGCATGTACAAGGACACAGGGTGAAACAATGTATAACCTGTAACATTTGCCGCTTTCAGTGTATCTTGTGTAGCTATCATTGTGTGTGAATACATGCATTTTCTCATGAAAACCAATGATGTAATTACTAACCAATTATTGTGCCTTGGAGATTTGTTAACCAATAATAAAGTAACACGCATAGTAGGTGAGAACTGAGAAACTTAGAAACTATATAAACTATGTCTGATACTCAATAAAGTTGCTGTTGATTCTGCTGTTGATTCTACTCTCAACTCTGCTATCCGTGGATGTTTTCCTTTCATACATCACACACGTCTTCAGCCTCCGGGAAACGAATGCAACATTTGGCGCCCGGAACAGGGACCCATATTTTGTCCGGCAAGGACAGGCGCGCCGTCTCGATCTTATCTCTTATAAGATTTTTGTAAGTATGCTTTCGCTTTCTCAAGAACAAAGGAAGCATGTAGATGATTTACTTTATCTTCTTAAAAAGTCTGAACTTTCTGTTTCACAGAAGGCTCTTTATCGGCTGGTACGAGAAATTGCCTTAACTTCTTCTTTCTATCCTGATAGGGGTTCTTTGAAATTGTCAGATTGGGATAAGGTTGGCAAGGTTTTGCATTCTAATACAAGTTTAAAGGTAGATATTTTGCATGCTTGGCATCTATGTAGACATGCTATAGTAATGTTTGGTAGGAAGGAAGAGGAGTTTTCTTCTCCTTTAACACCTCCTTCTGAAGTTTTGATTTCTGATTCTAAAATACCTCCTTCTGACACTCTGCCTGAAAAGGAAGCTTTGACTTCTGACTCTAAAGAAGCTTTAACTTCTGATTCTAAAGCTGAAGTTTCTAAATCTGAAGTATTTCCTTCTGCTTCTTCTGATAAAGCTGAAGTTTCTAAATCTGACATTCTTCAATCTCCTGTAACTGTTTTAACTTCTGATTCTAAAGCTGAAGTTTCTAAATCTGAAGTATTTTCTTCTGTTTCTTCTAATATAGTAATACCTTCTGCTCCTTCTGACACTGAAATATCTTCTGCTCCTACTGACACTAAAATACCTTCTGTTACTACTGATCTTGAAAAGATTTTGAAGCCCCTTTCTGAGATTTTAAAACCTCTTTCTGAGATTTTGAGACCTCCTTCTGAGATTCTAAAACCTCCTTCTGATTCTTCTGTTCCTTCTGGTATTGAACAAAAGAATTTAAAATCTCCTTCTATTTCATCTGACACTGAACAGAAACTTTCTAACATTGAATTGAAACCTCCTCCTTCTAATAATGTTCTAAAGTCTCCTTTTCAAAAGATGGTTGAAAGTTGTAATGCAGATGTTGCTATTTCTGGGGAAGAGTTAGCTGAATTGTTGTCAGTATGTCCAGTGCAATATCAACCAGGACCACAAGCTGGACAACAGATTGCAGAATGGGAAGGTTTGCCATTTCAAATTTTACGAGAATTGAAGAAGGCTATTTCTGATTATGGAATTACTGGGAATTTTACTAGAGGTCTTTTAGAGGGAATTAAGAATGGGTATACTATGGTACCTCAAGATTGGAAGCAATTGTTTCGGATGATTTTGACTTCTATGCAGTATGTAGTTTGGGAAAATGAATATTTACATCACTCTCATGCAGCTGCTTTAAGTGGTGGTGGTGCTTACACAGTAGAACAATTGTTTGGATCAGGTCAATTTGCAACCATTCCTACACAGCTTGTTCTTCCTCCTGCTACATTATCTGTAGTTTCCGAGTGTGCTTTTAGAGCTTTTTTAAAGGTTCCACAAACTGGTGAGCCTAAAATTAGTTTTTCTAACATACGCCAGGGAACAACTGAGCCTTATGCTGATTTTGTAGAAAGACTTTCAAAAGCTCTACGTCAACAATTGGATAATCAAGAAGCAGCAGCAGAATTATTGCGTCAATTGGCTATTGAAAATGCTAATGTAGAATGTAAACGTGCTCTCCAACCTTTAAGAGCTACAAATCAATATACTTTAGCAGACATGTTACGTGTTTGCCAGGAAATTGGATCTCAATCGTATAATATGCATTTATTAGCTGCTGCAATTCAGAAAGGAAGAAAGCCTGTGGGGAATTGTTTCAAATGTGGTAAAGTAGGTCATTTTCAGAAAGATTGTCATTTAACGCCATCTACTGGTGGTGATCGTCCTACAAAGAAATGTCCTATTTGCAAGAAAGGTTTTCATTGGGCAAATCAATGTCGTTTTCATTCGGGAAACTTGCAGGTGGGTGTGGCACCCACCCAGAAACAAAAACGTGCCTTTCCCGTAAATCTTCTCCCCCTTCCTCCTCCCTCTCTTGTGCCTCCTCAGCCACAACAGGTAGCGCTGGGATCGATCTAATTACTCAAGAAGACTTGGATTTTAAATTTCCTTTAGAAGTTAAACTTGTTTCTTCTCAATACACTGGTCCTCTCCCTTCTGGATTAGTTGGTATTATTTTACCTCGCTCTTCTGCTCATAAAATAGGATGTTTTGTAGTTCCAGGAGTTATTGATTCTGATTACACTGGAGTTATTCTTATGCAAATTTGGGTTAATATTCCACAATTTCTTCCTAAAGGATCTTCTGTTGCACAACTTCTTTTTCTTCCTTACAAGGTACCTAATCCAGGTACTGGACAACGTGGTAATTCTGGATTTGGTTCAACTCTTAATTCTATAGGACTTCTTCAGTCTATTAATTCTTTTAGACCACTTCTTACTTTATATCTTAATAAACAACCTTTTCAAGGTCTATTAGACACAGGTGCCAATGTTACTGTCATCT